ACTGGTGTAAGAGGAGACTCTAATGGAGACACTGGTGTAAGAGGGAACTCTAATGGAGACACTGGTGTAAGAGGGAACTCTAATGGAGACACTGGTGTAAGAGGGAACTCTAATGGAGACACTGGTGTAAGAGGGAACTCTAATGGAGACACTGGTGTAAGAGGGGACTCTAACGGAGACACTGGTGTAAGAGGGGACTCTAACGGAGACACTGGTGTAAGAGGGGACTCTAACGGAGACACTGGTGTAAGAGGGAACTCTAATGGAGACACTGGTGTAAGAGGGGACTCTGATGGAGACACTGGTGTAAGAGGGGACTCTAATGGAGACACTGGTGTAAGAGGGGACTCTAATGGAGACACTGGTGTAAGAGGGACTCTAATGGAGACACTGGTGTAAGAGGGGACTCTGATGGAGACACTGGTGTAAGAGGGGACTCTAATGGAGACACTGGTGTAAGAGGGAACTCTAATGGAGACACTGGTGTAAGAGGGGACTCTAATGGAGACACTGGTGTAAGAGGGGACGCTGATGGAGACACTGGTGTAAGAGGAGACTCTGATGAAGACACTGGTAAGAGGGGACTCTGATGGAGACACTGGTGTAAGAGAGGGGACTCTAATAGATACACTGGTGTAAGAGGGACTCTAATGGAGACACTGGTGTAAGAGGGGACTCTAATGGAGACACTGGTGTAAGAGGGAACTCTATTGGAGGACACTGGTGTAAGAGGGGACTCTATTGGAGACACTGGTGTAAGAGGGCACTCTAATGAAGACACTGGTGTAAGAGGAGACTCTAATGGAGACACTGGTGTAAGAGGGGACTCTAATGGGGACACTGCTGTAAAAGAGAACTCTAATGGAGACACTGGTGTATGAGGAGACTCTAACGGAGACACTGCTGTAAAAGGGAACTCTAATGGAGACACTGGTGTAAGAAGGGACTCTAACGGAGACACTGGTGTGTAGAGGGACTCTAATGGGAGACACTGGTGTAAGAGGGGACTCTAACGGAGACACTGGTGTAAGAGGGGACTCTAATGGAGACACTGGTGTAAGAGGGGACTCTAATGGAGACACTGGTGTAAGAGGGGACTCTAATGGAGACACTGGTGTAAGAGAGGAGACTCTAATGGAGACACTGGTGTAAGAGGAGACTCTAATAGAGACACTGCTGTAAGAGGGGACTCTGGTGTAAGAGAGGGGCTCTGATGGAGAAACTGGTGTAATGAGTGACTCTGATGAGGACTCATTTATTTATTCCTTTATGAAACTGATTATTTGTAAATAGACAACGTGCCCCTCGTCCTGGAAAATGATGAGACTCCAGCTCTGTAGGACAACACCGGAAGTGTGCGCGGGACAGCTCTGGATGGCTCTGGATTTCTGGCGGGATCAGCAGGTATTTATTTCCTTTTACAGAGCAGATATATAACAAACACTATCACAGAGCACAGAGAGCAAACCAAAGGTGTTGATTATTAGGGGGTCACACACTTTCTTTATTTTCTTAAAATGAACAATTAGGATTGAGGGTCTGAAATCGGCAGCAACTCAACGGCTTTTTTCTTGTCTGTTAAAATCCAGTTTTAATGAATCGTCCTGCAGTGTCCAACCAATCCTGCGGGGGGTTGTGCTGGCCTTTGAGTTTGTGTTGATGGCATCAGTTTGAGATGCTTCTGAGTTTGTTCAGAATTCATTGACAGGTACCTCTGACCTGCACCGACCTCCTTCTGGCCTGCATTGACCTCCTTCTGGCCTGCATTGACCTCCTTCTGGCCTGCATTGACCTTCTTCTGACCTGCACTGACCTTCTTCTGGCCTGCATTGACTTCCTTCTGGCCTGCCTTGACCTTCTTCTGGCCTGCATTGACCTTCTTCTGACCTGCACTGACCTCTTCTGGCCTGCATTGACCTCCTTCTGGCCTGCCTTGACCTCCTTCTGGCCTGCCTTGACCTCCTTCTGGCTTGCATTGACCTCCTTCTGGCCTGCATTGACCTCCTTCTGGCCTGCATTGACCTCCTTCTGGCCTGCATTGACTTCCTTCTGACCTGCGCTGACCTCCTTCTGACCTGCACTGACCTCCTTCTGACCTACATTGATCTTCTGAGTTGCAATTACCTACTTCTACCCTGCCTACTTGACTAGCCTGCTTTTTCTGACCTCCTTCTTCTGACTGCATTGACCTCCTTCTGGCCTGCATTGACCTTCTTCTGGCCTGCATTGACCTTCTTCTGACCTGCACTGACCTTCTTCTGGCCTGCATTGACCTCCTTCTGGCCTGCATTGACTTCCTTCTGGCCTGAACTGACCTCCTTCTTATCTGCACTGACCTGCATTAATCTATATTGACCTCCTTCTGACCTGCATTGACCTACTAACCTTCACTGACCTCCTTCTGACCTGCACTGACCTCCTTCTGACCTGCACTAGCCTCCTTATGACCTACATTGACTCTCTGACCTGCATTGACCTCCTTCTGACCTGCACTGACCTCCTTCTAACCTGCTTCCAGCACATTCTCCATTCCCATTGACTTGTATGACTTGCAGAGGCCCTTTGAGCACCAAAACAAGTATATTGTAATGTACAGTTGTGTTCAAAATAATAGCAGTGTGTTGAAAAAAGTGAATAAAGCTGAAAATCCTTCTAATAGCTTTTATTTCCATCCACACAAATGCATTGGGAACACGACACATTCTATTCCAAATCACAACATGAAGAAAAATACATCAAATTTGTGTTGTTCCTCTAAAAAAATTGAAGAAAAGTGAATATTAGACGGTACAAAAAAATCTCAGTGTTTGTATTCTTCTTTACAAACTCAAACATTCACTATATAAACTGAGAAATGTTTGAAGATTTTGCTTTCCTTTGAATGACTTCATGAATATTTGGTTGTAGTCGCACTGTTTCTGAGAACTGCTGTACATCTGTGTTGCATGGAGTCCCCCAACTTCTGGCCCCTGTGATCAGGTATTCCAGCCCAGGATGATTGGACGACATTCCACAGTTCTTCTCTATTTCTTGGTTTTGCCTCAGAAACGGCATTTTTGATGTCACCCCACAAGTTTTCTATTGGATTAAGATCCGGGGGTTGGGCTGGCCACTCCATAACGTCCATCTTGTTGGTCTGGAACCAAGATGTTGGACGTTTACTGGTGTGTTTGGGGTCGTTGTCTTGTTGGAACACCCATTTCAAGGGCATTTCCTCTTCAGCATAAGGCAGCATGACCTCTTCAAGTATTCTGATGTATTCAAACTGATCCATGATCCCTGGTATGTGATAAATAGGCCCAACACCGTAGTATGAGAAACATCCCCATTTCATGATGCTTGCACCACCATGCTTCACGGTCTTCACAGTGTACTGTGGCTTGAATTCAGTGTTTGGGGGTCGTCTGACAAACTGTCTCCGGCCACTAGACCCAAAAAGAACAATCTTACTTTCATCAGTCCACAAAATGTTGCGCCATTTCTCTTTAGGCCAGTCAATGTGCTCTTTGGCAGATTGTAACCTCTTCAGCACACGTCTTTTTTCCAACAGTGGGACTTTGCGGGGGCTTCTTGCAGATAGCTTGGCTTCACATAGGCGTCTTCTAATTGTAACAGTACTCACAGGGAACGTCACACCTTCTTTCATCTTCCTGGAGCTGATTGTTGGCTGAGTCCGCGCCCTTTTTCATCTTCCTGGCTATTGTTCTATGAGTCATTCCAATTCCAATGGTAGTTTTTTGCTTTTTTTCCACATCTTTCAGGTTTTGGTTGCCATTTTAAAGCATTTGCGATCATTTTAGCTGAGCAGCCGATCATTTTCTGCACTTCTTTATATGTTTTTCCCCTCTCCAATCAACTATTTAATCAAGGTACGCCGTTCTTCTGAACAATGTCTGGAACGACCCATTTTCCTCAGAATTTCAGAGAGAAATGCACTGTAACCAGCATGTACAACATTTGCTGCCTTCCTTCCTTAAATAAGGGCAATAATTGCCACCTGTTTTTCAAAGAATGAATGACCTCACTAATAGAACTCCACACTGCTATTATTTTGAACACGCCCCTTTCAATGAGTGATTCAATGACACAGAATCAGCAGCATGCATGTCATGACTGTTGGGTCTGTTGGATTTCTATTACTCTACTACAGCTGCTAGGAAATTATTTGCCATGTAGAAATATCATTTCCACCAAAAACAGTGATTGATCCGGTTAGTGATGTCTGACTGCTAGTATTTTGAACACAACTGTACATGTTCAGTTAATGAAGCTATAAACAGATTTTAGCAGATGTGTGTGTGGTCATTCCATGGTAATAAATTGGCCAGACAAAAATATTCTCGTGTGTAAAAACCAAACTCTGTTCAATGACTTTCTATGCACTTTTTTTTCTCTACTGAAATGTTGAGCTCATCAGTGTCCTTGAAAACCCATGGCTCAGTAGCACATTGTACCCGAGAATCCTTCCCATCATGACTTGTACCCACCAATGGTGCTCCAACCCCAGGTGTGCTCCATAATGTTCCCGAATCCTGGGAAGTTCTCCCCAAAGGGTCCCTGAGCAAGAACACATTTTGGACCCCCCCATTCAATTACTGACCAATACTAACACTGATTAACTATAAAGCAGCCTTTGTCAACCAGGTTCCATTGAACATGAAGGTTCCTCCAGAGTTTGCTAGGGTGTTCTTTGAGCAATTTCTGCCTCTCAGATATGTTCCCACTAACACCACTGATCTTTTAGATGTCTGTGAGGGGGGCATTCATCATGCTGACCACCAATGTAAGGAACATTCTTCCCACTGACCACAAATGTAAGGAACATTCCTCCTACTGACCGCCAATGTAAGGAGCATTCTTCCCACTGATCACCAATGTAAGGGACATTCTTCCCACTGATCACCAATGTAAGGAACATTCCTCCTACTGACCGCCAATGTAAGGGACATTCTTCCCACTGACCGCCAATGTAAGGGCATTCTTCCCACTGACCACCAATGTAAGGGACATTCTTCCCACTGACCGCCAATGTAAGGGGCATTCTTCCCACTGACCGCCAATGTAAGGGACATTCTTCCCACTGACCGCCAATGTAAGGGACATTCTTCCCACTGATTACCAATGTAAGGAACATTCTTCCCACTGACCGCCAATGTAAGGGACATTCTTCCCACTGACCTCTAATGTAAGGAACATTCTTCCCACTGACCCCCCAATGTAAAGGGCATTCTTCCCACTGACCGCCAATGTAAAGGGCATTCTTCCCCACTGACCACCAATGTAAGGAACATTCTTCCCACTGATCGCCAATGTAAGGGGCATTCTTCCCACTGACCACCAATGTAAGGAACATTCTTCCCACTGACCAGCAATGTAAGGAACATTCTTCCCACTGATCGCCAATGTAAGGAACATTCTCTTCCACTGACCCCAATGTAAGGGACATTCTTCCCACTGACCACCAATGTAAGGAACATTCTTTCCACTGACCGCCAATGTAATGGACATTCTTCCCACTGACCACCAATGTAAGGGACATTCTTCTCACTGACCACCAATGTAAGAGGCATTCTTCCCACTGACCACCAATGTAAGGGACATTCTTCCCACTGATCGCCAATGTAAGGGGCATTCTTCCCACTGACCGCCAATGTAAGGGGCATTCTTCCCACTGACCGCCAATGTAAGGGACATTCTTCCCACTGATCACCAATGTAAGGGACATTCTTCCCACTGACCCCAATGTAAGGGGCATTCTTCCCACTGACCGCCAATGTAAGGGACATTCTTCCCACTGATCGCCAATGTAAGGGGCATTCTTCCCACTGATCACCAATGTAAGGGACATTCTTCCCACTGATCACCAATGTAAGGGGCATTCTTCCCACTGATCACCAATGTAAGGAGCATTCTTCCCACTGACCGCCAATGTAAGGGACATTCTTCCCACTGATCACCAATGTAAGGGGCATTCTTCCCACTGACCGCCAATGTAAGGGACATTCTTCCCACTGATCACCAATGTAAGGAGCATTCTTCCCACTGACCGCCAATGTAAGGGACATTCTTCCCACTGATCACCAATGTAAGGGGCATTCTTCCCACTGATCACCAATGTAAGGGACATTCTTCCCCACTGATCGCCAATGTAAGGGGCATTCTTCCACTGTAAAATGTAAGGGGCATTCTTCCCACTGACCGCCAATGTAAGGGACATTCTTCCCACTGACCACCAATGTAAGGAGCATTCTTCCCACTGACCGCCAATGTAAGGGGCATTCTTCCACTGACCGCCAATGTAAGGGACATTCTTCCCACTGATCACCAATGTAAGGGGCATTCTTCCCACTGATCACCAATGTAAGGGGCATTCTTCCCCACTGATCACCAATGTAAGGAGCATTCTTCCCACTGACCGCCAATGTAAGGGGCATTCTTCCCACTGACCGCCAATGTAAGGGACATTCTTCCCACTGATCACCAATGTAAGGAGCATTCTTCCCACTGACCGCCAATGTAAGGGGCATTCTTCCCACTGACCGCCAATGTAAGGGGCATTCTTCCCACTGACCCGCCAATTCAAGGGACATTCTTCCCACTGATCACCAATGTAAGGGGCATTCTTCCCACTGATCACCAATGTAAGGAACATTCTTCCCACTGATCACCAATGTAAGGGACATTCTTCCCACTTCCCAATGTAAGGGACATTCTTCCCACTGCACCAATGTAAGGGGCATTCTTCTTCCACTGACCGCCAATGTACCATACACTGTAGCTCTAGTAGGGATTCCCTAAGAATAAATTTTTTTTTCAAGGGTTCCTCCATGTTAAAAAGGGTCAAGAAAGACCAAGGTAGATAGATCGATAAAGAGTTGCTTTTGTGATGCACAGAACTCTTCCCTCTCTTGTAATCCAAATGGTGTCACCGAGCAGTTAGCAGGGTCCAGATGTGGTAACGGGAGGGCGGTCCCAGCACCCACCCTATCGTATAAATTGGCCCCTAAGTTCCAGAGGGCCCTTAGTGCAGTTGTACAATACACACAACTGGTGGCTCCATCCATGAATTTCGTCCACACCAAAGTCTCTGGAGACACAAGTGGGTTCCATCTTGGCTTACTGTAGCTCTTTCGGGGTCATGTGGTGATTAAAGCTCTTTCTTAGAATGCCCCCTTTGGGTTTCTGAGACAAACCATCCAAGGAGATTATTCAAGCAACGAAAACCAATCATCTGAATCAAGTCTGTAGCGCTATTTGTACACTCTTTGCGGCTACTGGGGTATGATGGCGCCACCTGTATAGTATTTAGGAGCAGAGTCTCTATAATCTGTGTGATCAGGACAAGATCTCTAACAAGCGCTAGTGCCTCCACTCAATTGGGGCTTGTGGATAACAAGCGAAATCCCAACTGAGAAATGTATCATCCACATAGACAGTAATCCACACAGCATTGTATATGAAAGTGCCATGTATTGAAGAAATCACATTCAGTGAACCATCCAAACAGGAACATGAAAGCATTAACAGTGTTTTCTGCATGTCTCAGTGAGAAGAGGCTGCAACACTTATGCAGGCCATAGACGGGTCAAAAACCGGAAACGAAAAATCGGTCGTTCAATAGGCCGACGTTACCACCAACGGTAAAAAAAATCGGCTGATTTTCGTCCCGTCTATGGCCAGCATTTGATTACTTCTGTCCCTGCAGAGAGCTCCCCTATTATATTTGACATGAAAAAGTATTGCGGTTGCAACATTGTATCTATTTGTATCCATTTCAGATACAGATGGTTTTATTCGGATACAAATAGATACATTGTTGCAACTGCTATACTTTTTAATGTCAAATATGATAGGGGACTGGAATCCTCCTCCTCTTCCTCCTCCTCCTCTTCTTCCTCCTCCTCTTCCTCCTTCTCCCCCTCCTCTTCTTCTTCCTCCTCCTTCTCTCTTCTCATCCACCTCCCTCTTCCTCATCCTCCTCCCTCTTCTTCCTCCTCCTCCTCTCTTCTTCCTCCTCCCCCTCCTCTTCTTCCTCTTGTTCCTCCTCTTCTCGAGCTATCTATGGCCTGCATTACAGTCTGAGCTCTCTCTCTGCCAGAAAAATCCACACTTCCCTCTTTTCCACAAGTGCTCTCTCTGATGACCTCATCCTCAGTGCCCAGAGAGCATAGCGGCCATATTGGAAAAGGGCAAAACAAACTGCATAACATAAGTATACACTGGAAAATGGGCAAAGAAATTATCACATCACTTACAAGTCAAAAAACAGCAACTGGAGCTCGAAGGACTTTGGTTCCTCCATCATGTTCTCTCTTGGTGACAATGGTAAGTGGGGAAACCGGAAAGGGCAAATCTACCCAACGGGGTCACAGATGGCAATAAAACCTCAACAAGTATTCTGTATCTTCACCGCTCCACCCAACATGGAAAAACACATTTTACGCGTGAAATGATCGTCTCCAATAGATGCTGGAGTTCCTGGTGACCAGTGATTGGCATGCCAAATTGATGTAACTGTCATTTACCGATATACCGAAGGATAATGTTTCATTGGGACACTAGTTCTGGTGACAACCAGGGACTCCCTCTTCTGCCTGTTTTGCTTATGGAACAGGAAGTGAAGAGAAACCTTCCAGTGGGGACACACTTTTTTTTTGGGATTTCCTCACTTTGGAGGGATTTCATCTCACTTCCTGTTTTGGCTACGGGACAGGAAGTGAAGAGAAACCTTCCAGTGGGGGGACACACTTTTTTTTGGGATTCCCTCACTTTGGAGGGATTTCATCTCACTTCCTTTTTGGCTACGGGACAGGGAGTGAAGAGAAACCTTCCAGTGGGGACACACTTTTTTTGGATTCCCTCACTTTGGAGGGATTTCATCTCACTTCCTGTTTTGGCTATGGGACAGGAAGTGAACAGAAACCTTCCAGTGGGGACACACTATTTTTTTGGGATTCCCTCACTTTGGAGGTATTTCAGCTCACTTCCTGTTTTGGCTATGGGACAGGAAGTGAATCAGAAACCTTCCAGTGGGGACACACTATTTTTTTTGGATTCCCTCACTTTGGAGGGATTTTATCTCACTTCCTGTTTTGGCTACGGGACAGGAAGTGAAGAGAAACCTTCCAGTGCGGCAACACTTTTTTTTTTTGGATTCCCTCACTTTGGAGGGATTTCATCTCACTTCCAGTTTTGCTATGGGACAGGAAGTGAAGAGAAACCTTCCAGTGGGGACACACTTCTTTTTGGGATTCCCTCACTTTGGAGGGATTTCTTCTCACGTCCTGTTTTGGCTACGGGACAGGAAGTGAAGAGAAACCTTCCAGTGGGGACACACTTTTTTTTGGGATTCCCTCACTTTGGAGGGATTTCATCTCACTTCCTGTTTTGGCTACGGGACAGGAAGTGAAGAGAAACCTTCTAGTGGGGACACACTTTTTTTTTGGGATTCCCTCACTTTGGAGGGATTTCTTCTCACGTCCTGTTTTGGCTACGGGACAGGAAGTGAAGAGAAACCTTCCAGTGGGGACACACTTTTTTTTGGGATTCCCTCACTTTGGAGGGATTTCATCTCACTTCCTATTTTGGCTATGGGACAGGAAGTGATGGGACACTAGTTGTGGTGGCAACCAAAGACTCCCTCTTCTTCCTCTCATCTACTGGGGGTTGTAACCCTCCCTTAATGTATCCAAAATTTAAAAAAAAATTTTTTTGATTTTTAAGTTCTACTTTTAACTTTTATTGACTGTTCCTACCACAAAACTATTGATATAACAGCCCCCCCCCCCCCCCCCTAAAGGAGTCTCTGTCAGGCTGTGTGGAAGGGAAGAACCCCATGTTCCTTCTTGACTACAAAGAGTTAACAGCCCAAACAGGAACACAGGCTCCGGCAAGATGGCCGCCGAAACCTAGGATTGAGGACACATCTTGGACTTCCGGGTGCGAGAATAACAGTGTACCCTATCAAGGGCTCCGGCCGCCATTTTGTGTTAGTCAGCGGTTTCATTGGCTGCTGAACTCTCGCGTGGTTTTTTTGCTACTCGGAGATCTGTGTACAGCAGAGAAAACCGACTGAGGGAGGGTGAGACCCCCGAAGACCGACTGAGCCCTTTGGAGACCGGGAAAGAGAGCGGAGCCGGTAAGTCCTGTGTACAGGAAGTGGGCGGGGGACCCTGGGGTCACGTGGGAGGTTGTTTATATAGATATATATATGTATACATTGAGGGTCAGTCACTTTTCTGAGTAATTATATATAATAATGAGCATTAGCGCCTTTGGCCAATAGACTGCGCCGTTTTTTGCATTTTTTAAAAAAAAAAAAGCGCTGTAAAAACGCGTCCCTTTAAATTCAACGCCTGTCTTCACGCTGCTTTGCTGCGCTTCCCTCGCGGTGGTAAAAATCCCACTTGCCGCAGTTTTGGTGTATATTGTGTGTGGCGAGTTTAAAAAAAAAAACTTCACCAAAAAACACAACTCCCCCCCCCCATTGAGGCCCGGTGCGGTTTTTAAGGCTTTTTTGCAGAAACCGCGCTACGATCCATTTATTATGGACTTGAGATGCTGCGAGTTTGGAAGCGGCGGGGACTTGTGCAAACGCAAAACGTTTCGTCTTTCAATAGACGTCAAGGGAGACTCTGCAGAAAACGAGTGGAGTGCGTTTCCGACGTGTTTTTAAAGCGTTTTTGATCTGCCCAGCAACAAGTTGGTCCCCCACCCCCCCCAAGAAAAGCAAAAAGCATCAAAAACGTGACTGCATAGGTGTGAACCAGGCCTGAAATGCATAGAAAAAAACATTAAAAATGTACGTGTGTTGTGTGTTTTTGATGCGTTTTGTGTGTTTTTAATCTGCCCAGCAACAAGCTGGTTAAAAAGAGAATTTAAAACCCCTTCCAGTCCGGGCGCTTTTCCCCCCCTTCCTGTCTGGACCCTCCACCGCCCCCCCCCCCCTTCCAGTCCGGGCGCTTTCCCCCCCCCCTTCCAGTCCGGGCGCTTTTCCCCCCCCC